TGAGTATATTTTATACAATTATTTTGGCCGACAAATATAGACATTTAATAATTCTTTTGATTAATTATAGCCTAATTTATTGCAATTTTTTTATTAGGTGAACTCAATGTTGAACGTATAATTGGAAGAAATAAGAGAAAAATAGCATATACAGCATAGCTTATTAGCATTTGGGCAATCTAATTTTCATTTAATGATGGGCTCGATCAATATGTTCTAGCATGCATTGCAATTTTTCATTTTTCTTTTTTATTTGAAAAAGCCACTGAAAATCCAAATGCTCACCTCTCAAGATTTTTGGACATGTGTGCAACAATTGAATATCTGGGAGTTTCCCATTTCACAGCATCATTACTTGGGGCAATTTGAGCCAAAAGTTCTTGAATGAATATTTTCCACCAAAAAGGGTTGTCAAGTTGAGAGATGAGATCACTACATTCTCATAGTTTGATTCAGAGTGGTATTATGAAGCATGTGAAAGATGTAAAGTTCTTCTTTAACGATGTCCACAACATGGGCTGTAAAAATGGCTACAGGTCCAGTACTTCTACATTGGGCTGAATCCGACTAGCATGGTTAATGTTAACTTTACATGTGATGTGTTAATTACAAAAAGGACCATAGATCAGGTTTATCAAGTAATGGAGGATTTGGCATACATTAGAGCATTATAGCCGACTGAGAGATCAGGTGGAAAGAAAGCTGCAGGGATGCTCGAGGTTGACACATTGATAGCTATTTTAGCACAGCTAGCAGCACTAGCTAGAAAGGTAGATGGTTGGGCCACCAATCAAATAGTGAACGCATTTCAAGCAGCTAGGCTGAGATACAACCATTGCGGAGGTAATCATTAAAGTATAAATTGTAATGTGGGGAATCCATTTGTACAGTCGGTTGAGGATGTGAATTACATGCAAAACTATTTAAAGCAGCAAAACAATCCCCATTTATATACATACAATTCGGGTTGGAGAAATCACCCAAATTTCTTCTCGAGCAATACCAGTAGTCATCAGGTTCACCACATTAAAATGCATCACTAGGTTTTCAGCAGCCGAAAAAGAAACCTTCATAAGAAGAAACATTTGCTAAAATGGTTGAGGTATCAACTCAATTCATGCAAAAGGCCAAGAAGAACTTACAAATTCAAGCGGCTACCATACAAAATTTGAAAAATCAAATAGAAAAAATTGTCAAGGCAATTTCAAAAAGACAGGCTAGAACTTTTTCAAGTGATACCGAGACAAATCCAAAACAACAGGTAATGACAGTGAATGTTTTGGAGAACGAGTAAATTGAGGCAATTACTATGTAGATTAGGTTCAACTTTCATAAATTACAATTAAGAAACATGTGGTAGTAAATGAAAAAGTACCTTCAACAAATGATAAGCAAATGGATCGATATGAACAATGAGCAAAAATAGTTTCAGATCAAAAATCAGGTAATTCACATGTTAAGACAACCGCTCCTATCAAGATGTACGTGCCTCCTGTCCCCTTTTCTCAAAGATTCTAGAAAAAAAAAGAAGCTCGAAAAACAGTTTACAAAGTTCTCGAACACTTTTGGGAAGCTTTATGTCTAACATCCCATCAATTGAAGCCATATTTCACATACCAAGCTATGCAAAGTTTTTCAAGGAGATCTTATCAAGGAAAAAAAGCTCATTGAAATTGAGACCATCAAGCTAAATGAGGAGTACAGTGCTATCTTGCAAAACAAATTTCCTCTTAAACTAAAAGATTCAGGAAGTCTCTAAATACCTCGTTCAATAAGAAATGATTATACTTTTAGTTGTTTATGTGATTCTAGAGCAAGTATAAATTTAATGTATTTTTCTGTCTACAGGAATTTAGGGTTGGAAGAGCTAAGGGATACAACTATCTCCTTTTAACTGGAGGACAGGTCAATCAAATACCCATGAGAAGTGATCGAGAACATGCTCATTGAAATTGACAAGCTCATATTTCCAGTAGACTTCGTTGTCTTAGTCATAGAAGAATCACGAGATGCATCATTACTAATCTTGGGTCAATCTTTCCTATCAATAAGTCAGACTATCATGGACTTCAAAGCAAACAAATTGACCTCGAGGGTAGATGATGAACAGGAGAAGTTCAAAATCTGTACTGTTGAGAAACCATCACATGAAGAGAATATCAAAAAGGTAGAGGAAGAAGTGAAAGCGCATTTAAAGTGTCCAACAAAAAGGGGTTGGTGGAAAAATTGGCAATCTCAATGATAAAAAATGAGCTCTTCAAGCATGGAGAATCATAAAAAAGATTGGCAATGCTAAATGTTGTGATCAAAGCTTTACCTGTGAAGTCCACTTTGAACCACTATAATTAATTCCTTCACAAACTCTAGTTAAAAACTTTAAATTAAGTGCTTATAAGAAGACATCCAATTTCTTACGTTTCATTTATTGTGCTTTTTGTATGTGTATTGCATGTAGTTTATCAGGTTGTATTAGATTTAGGCATGTTTTTATTTAAATAAAAGGGCCATCATGTAAATTTTAAAGCCTCGAAAAGGAAAATAATTTATTTTAGTAAAAAAAAAAAAAAAATTAGAAAAACCATGTGGCATGTTTTTCAAAGTTTTAGAAGCATTAAAAAAAAAAAAAAAAAAAAAAAGATTAGTTGTCGTACACGTCACATTGTAGTTTTTAAATTAATTTTTAACTCTTATATTTATTCTCTTTCATCTTTCAAAGGTACAAAGTTTCAAACGAGAGGTACACTTAACAAGTTAAAAAATGGGATGAACAGATCCAACAAGCTTACCTCCAATATAAGACAAAAATTTGAGGATTATTTTCCTCTTTTCTTTCTCACTCCCTTATGTTGCTAGATTATATTTTAAAATACTGAGAATAATGTATACTTTAAGTTTAGGATATGAAAATTTTGAGTTTTTAGTTTTAGTATTTATGTGTGATTACGCGCTTATTGCTTTAATAATCTGATAAAAATACAAAGATAAAGTTGCAAAAACTTATTTAAACAAATCAAAAATATTTTTTTTAGTTTGCTTGCTAGCGTGGGTTAAGTAACCTGATCGATAATGATAAATATATTTGAAATTGTTTGTTGATTTATGATTTGTGAATATGTGTCTTTAAACCAAATTTATCATAGTTTGTGGCTGATTCAATTGTTTAGGAAGATATGAAAATTCTATGCGTGTAAATTCTTGTGTTGATTGTCTAAGATCAATATGATGCAATTAGCTAAAAGTCTTATATTTAAGAGGCCAATCTTGAATGGGCGTTTAACAAGGGACTTTGTAATAATCATGACGAAAAAAAATTACCTCATTGTAAAACGTCTTTTCGTAACATTTATGGCTCAAGTAATTAAGCCTATATGGGTATCTAAAATTTGGCACCCTATAGTCATCTAACTTACGAGTTATCGGTCGAAAACTCGTTACAATGGTCATTTAGACAGCTTAATGAAGAAAGGTCTGCACATAAAAAATAGCAAATCTAAAAGGGAAGGTGTATGAAACAAAAGACACACAACGGATCGTAGTGAAAACAGGGTTCAGTGGCACCGAGGCGCCTGATTTCAAATGGAAATTTTCTATCTGTAGTGCGTAGGTGCTTGAGGAGATTGATCTCTATAAAAATTCTCCAAAATTTAGGTTTTGCAGATATGCAATTTGGTCTCCAAATTCGATTTTTGAATCATTTATGTTATTTCCTCTTTCAATTTTGGTCCTTTAACTTTTAATTACAACCAATTAAGTTTGAGCTTCATTTTTTAGTAGTGTATTGATGGAAAATGTGTGATTAAAAAAAAAAGTTTTGAATTTATGTGTAATATTATTTTATTGAAGAACATTGGTTTGAAATGTAATCAAAACACTATTCAAGAATACAATTTTTTTTTTTTTCAAAAAATGGGGCTCAAACGAGGTCGTAATATCTTCAATCATTATTTTGTGGTGCGAATTAACTATTAAAAGTTGTAATTAGGTCACCGAACTTTGAATTTTACCATTTTTCGCCGTTTCTCGATATTTTTCCCTTATTTCTTCCAATTTCACATCCAATCATCGAATTTTACCTAATAAATAAAATATATAATAAATTAGACTCTAATTAATCAAAAGAGCTATTAAGTACCTACATTTTTAGATTCAAATAAGTGTATAAAATATACTTATCAAATATCTCCAAATTTAAACATTTGTTTATCCTCAAACAAAACATTAACCTAATTTAACAAACAAACAACCAAACATCCAAAAAGATTTTGGTTAGATAACTTGTCATTTTGTCTCGAAATTTGAATCATTATATTGAATCTATAAACAGCTTCAAGTTCATAATACCAAATTAGCATCAACTTCTCCAATGCAAAATTGACATGTGTGTGTGAAAAAATCAACTATACATATAAAATTATGAGTTGTTCCAAACACCCCCAAACTTATTGTTTTTACATTTTTTCTCCATATGAACTCAAGGTTAAATTTTTATATTAATCCTCACCCTTTCTAATTAAGGTGAATCTCACTAATTGTAAGTCAATATTTCAACAAATAAGAATTCTTCAAATTTTTTAGTGGTTCAACCTCCAAGACTTAACTCAACTAATAATCCATTGTCAAAAGTCTAATTCTCTCAAATAAGTGCTTAGGTCTTAATATAAAAATTTAAAGGTGCTTTTAATTAGTTTAGGAACATTGATCAACAAGAATGTACACATATTTTCATGTTATTAAATTGAATTGAATAGGATTAAATAAGGGGGATTCGGAGTTTTAAAAAACCATATCACCTAAATGTACAAACGCTTCATAATTTGCTCATTATAATAGTTAGTTTAATTGGTTAATTTAGTATAAAATCATTCAAATGCAATTTGCTATTCGATTAAGGTAAGGATACGTAGTACTCGTGAACACGATATTTTATTTACTACTTTATTACTTGTTTACGATACTGTACTTGCGGGAAATCAAATGATAAGCACTATATGCTCCACAACTTTATAGAATATTGTTGAACGCTTTGAAGAAAATAAGGACGATGAATCAATATCGCCACTACTACATACAAAGAAAAATGAAAATACAACTTTCTTGAAGCTGCAGATTGAGCCAGCTTCTTATTGTGCATATGTATTTTTCAGTAAATTTGAAAACAATTGCTGAATACAGTATAAATCCTCAGTTTCAGGCTCCATCAACCATTAATAAGAAAATCCCACCTCTTCCCGACAATAACTCCGTATCTGTACCGTATAATGCAAGACATTCGGCGGGCTGCTTCAGTTAAAATAGTAAGCACGCCGCTGCCTCTGAAAACCCGAAACTCGAGAACAATCTTCAGCTTAGAACTGAATTGGGGATGAAAATGTCTGGCCAAAACCCCAATTTGCTGGGATTACATTTAGGAAAGTTTTGGTTATTCTATCCGTAGTAGTGATTCTGAAGGATAAAGATTGGCCATTGAGATAAGAATTGGATTGCCAATTGGCACCCCAATTCCGAGACATTGTCATCCAATTAGTTCTTGACCCTTTGATTTGCACTGATTGGATTGATCCAGCATTTGCCACATTGCTAATCATCACGAGCTCAAAGTAATCCCTACCGTTCATCGTGAATCTAACTCCACCACGCTTCTTGCATGGAACCCTTCATCATATAGAGAATATTAAGTATGGTTCGGTGAAGACTAAATTTAAATAAATAAACGTCACTACAAAGTTTCAGATCTCACAAAGTCAATTTAGGGTAGTGTAAATACCTCTGATAGAGCACGGGCACAATTCCCCCTCGGTATACACCGATCTTTTCCCAAGCGGGTTGAGCCATGTCAAAATGCTGACGGGGTGGGTTGCACCACCCTCCATTGTCACTTGGGAGAGCGTTGTTTGGAGGGCAAAAGTTGGTCGCCGTAACAGTCACAGACATTCCTCTCTTGCACCACCGAGAATCGGACTTAAAATCGCAAATAATCTTGTAACATTGTCCACAGGCTGCTCCATCATTGAACAATGCAGTGCTCAGTGCTGCAGTTCTAGTCCCATAACCAGTTGAATACAAGTTACCATATCCACAAGCACCCCCTGTGGCCAAACCCATAAAATTTATGTCAGAATTCAGTTCTTCTTTCAAAACCTTTTTTTCAACGTACTCATTTTCAACCATACATATACACAATAAACTATTATGCACGTAAACTCAAAATTTTTCCATACTTTTTAATCACTCATTCTCCAAAAGTTTACTGTTCAAAAACAAATTTTTTTCCAAAAAATAGCCTCCAACTGGGGGCTCAATCCTTATCATCAGAAGTGAAGCAACACTTACCCATTGTTCCCGAAGCATCGCTACCTCCATAAAAGGTTGCGTGAGCTCGCATCCATCCAGATGCCGTGAAAGCACTGGCATTTACAACGAAACAACTAAATAAAAGCAATATTGCTAAAATGCCATTGGTGGCCATTGTGTTTTCTTTTTCAGACGCTAAAGGAGAAGACTCTAAAGAAAGATTTGTGAATGCAGATTGTGGGTGTCAATTCAAAGTTAAAGGTGCTTATATAGGTATCAAAATTTCTGCAATGCAACAACCTCACATGTTAATTCTGCAAGTGGCAAAATCTCATCATTTGGACGGAATTATCTATGCAAAAGTCAGAAAAAATTCTTAATTTCATTCAATTATTCCCACGTTCTCTTTGCCATTTATTCCAAACCCACATGGATTTCCTAACAGAAAAGCCGTGTATGGATCAAAGTCCAACCCCCAAATTATTAATTTATCTTTGCTTTTATGCCTCTGAACATACTAGACAATACAATAAACAAGATTTTAGCTTCTTATGCTTCATTAATATGCCCATTTGTGTACAACCTATACTATCAAAATAATATCAAGAGATGCATACTAGTCCACAATATTAAATACAATTGAGTTGGCTAATACAATGGACAAAATTATAACGGCCTTTTTTTAATATCATAATTTTAATATCCCGTATCATATCCAAAAAAAAAAAAGAAAAAGAAA